AACATCGATACAAGATAAATATTACGTTATAAGGTATGCATTTACTGATACAAAGCACATTCAAGCAAAAAAAGAGACATTTCAAACATCACATAAAGTTGTCTATGGAGCAACTGGATACAGCCCAATGTGCGCCGCGTCAATTACTAACAACCTCACCCTTAATTGCTTTCAGAGCTACGTCAAAGTCAAATATTCAATGTACAGTCGTTTTCCAATTCATGGTCATCCAGGTTTTTAATTCTTAATGTTAGCGTAAATTTTATTTTACAACGATAAGCTGTACTCTCTCGATCCTCGACTGCACAAACCCTCCAAATGCCAATATTGACATATATTCCTTTGCGTTTTATAACTAAGGTTTTTTTTATAACTAAGGTTCCTTTAAAAAAACAAAAGAATTCCTATGTGTTCTTCCAAATTATTCTCTACATCTATACCAAATTTCATTGAGATCCGTTCAGCAATTTAGGCTACAAACTTTAACATCTATTCAAACTTTCGTATTTATGATTAACTTCGCCCGCGTGAAAATAAAAAAAATATAGCGTATGTTACTCACAGATAAATTACCTTTCTAACGGTAAAAGAATTTTTAAAATCGACCTAGTTATTTGAATTATTTCAATACATACAAAAATGCAAATCTTTTCTTTTTATAATATTAGTATAGTTTGACTTTTTTAATAAGATGTCGCCTTTTTTAGACGTTACGGATACCGTCGTCAGTACACTTTAAGTTGCACGAGCTGGATTTCGACGACGTGGAGCTATCCGACGAGGACACGCTGCGCGCCTGCCTGCGCATGTTCCTCGACCTGGACTTCGTGGAGCGCTTCCACATCGAGTACAGCGTGCTGTGCCGCTGGCTGCTCAGCGTCAAGAAGAACTACCGCAACGTCACTTACCACAACTGGAGGCACGCCTTCAACGTCGCCCAGATGATGTTCGCTATACTCACTGTGAGTACAGTTTCTATATATTTGCTGGTTGACCAAATATTTCGCAATTATGTTCTGTACAATTTCTTTATGTATCAAATTTATTTATCAAAATAATGCGTAAAATGCTTTATGTAAATGTTTGCTAACAATCTCTTCTCGTGATGTTAAGATCGCTTTCGAAGTATACTAAGCTTCGCTATGATTATAGTAGTCGCGGACCAATGGAAAAAGTACAGTTAGGGTTGTTGATGGTACTTTATTTCTAAAATGAAGCTTAAATGGTTGTAAGAAAAGCTTCCACATTCTACATACATTATTGGTATGGGAAAGATAGGAGTTAGCTGCCATGATAGATACCGTACTCGTTTATTTATAAAATAGCAGAGTTTAAAAATGGACCTTGAAATGCAAGGTAACTTTTTTGTAACTAGGATCCAATGGACAGAAAAAGTAACAAGGTTAATTATTAAATGTTTTAATGATAATTTTGTGATAATTTCAGGAGACCCAATGGTGGAAGATTTTCGGCGAGCTGGAGTGCCTCGCGCTGATCATCGGCTGCCTCTGCCACGACCTCGACCACCGGGGGACCAACAACTCGTTTCAGATCAAGTCAGTCTCCATTGAACACATTGACTTAGCCTCTATCTCACCAAATTGTAAATTGTCTGATATCTAACGAGTAAAATATGTGATGAAAATGTCGGATTTTGTTCCCTTATCTGACAGTGATTTTTACGTTATCTGACCCTCAATCAGCCAATAGTGTGTCAGGCCCTTAGTTTAATATTTAGAAATTCTTTTCATAAGATGCAGTTGCACAAAGTATTTCTAAAGCGCATGATAAATGCAGAATGTTTGATCGTGCTGTTTTTTTTATCTATAATGGGCAAAAGCATCAATACGTTATCAGGATGTAATGTACATTTTTTATTATCTTTTAATTTCATGGGCGAAGTCGCGGGCAACAGCTAGTAGTATTATAATGTTTTCCCGCGTATTTTTCCAGGGCATCATCCCCCCTCGCGCAGCTGTACTCCACGTCGACGATGGAACACCACCACTTCGACCAGTGCCTGATGATCCTCAACTCCCCGGGGAACCAGATCCTCGCCAATCTCTCTTCCGACGACTACGAGCGTGTCGTCAAAGTTCTAGAAGATGCTATACTCTCTACCGACTTGGCAGTTTACTTCAGGTAAATCTTTAAGATATGTTTTTGAAGCGCCATAATTTAAAAAAATTTTATTGTAAATGCGAACTACGAATGGATTATAAAATATTTTCAACAGTATTTCTACAATAAAAAGTGATCTAAGCATAGTGATAGCTTATCTACCTACCCCTTTGCATATAATGTAACTTATGACCCTCACTGCGCAGCAAATGTGTTTTTAATTTTGTGTCTTTATTATTAGAATCCTTATTGTGACATCTAAGTTAGGGCACATTAGTACAAAGACTTCACAAGTATTTTCAAATTTACTCGCAGATGTGCAGTTTGCATCACGATGTATTCCTTCACCGTAAAAACGTCAGGTTATTTCATATATGAAATTAAAAAAATTGGTAAATACCGAGATTCGAACCCGGGACAGTAGATTGAAAGTCAAGTGTTTCACTGAGTTACCGATGCTTTTAGTATTAGGATATTAATTGGGTATTGTTTGTGGTCAGTAAGCGCACGGCGTTCATCGAGCTGGTGAGCGCGGAGCGGTGCGTGTTGGGCGCGGGGGGTGCAGGGGGCGCGGTGGGCTCGGGGGGCGCAGGGGGCGCGTGGGGCGCGTGCCCGGCGCGGCGCGGGCTGCTGCGCGCCATGCTGATGACGGCGTGCGACCTGGCCGCTATCAGCAAGCCGTGGCCGGTGGAGCGGCGCGTGGCCGCGCTCGTCGCAGGAGAGTTCTTCAGGCAGGGAGACCTCGAGAGACATAACCTCAATCTCACGCCTATCGTAAGTATCATCACCATCACCAGCTCACTATACACCCTCGCCGAGGGGTTCGTAGTCTACCCTAATAAGGGGTGACTAGGCCATAGTCAACCATGCTGGCCCACTTCGGGTTGGTTGACTTCGCACATATCTTTGAATTTTTTCGCCGATATGTGCAGGCTGCAACACGATGTTTTCCTTCTTCGTATCGATCGTAAGTATACCTACTAGATACATTTTTATCTTGCGACACTTTTATTTCAAAGAGCAATTTAGTATAGTGTAGGGGAAACTGGCGATATTTCTTGAAAGTTACCAATCGTTTAAACATTTTTAAACGAGAAGCGGAACTATAATCTATACAATGCTATAAATGTGTTTGTGCCAAAAAAAAAGTTAGTGATCTTTCTATGCCACTTCTTCTCTTTCGATTAAAATCTGCAATTTTAAACATTCATGTATGTGTAGCGGTCAGTTTTCTATTTCGGCGAATTTTGTTAGCCGTTCGCTCGTTTGCAACCTTATGATATAAAAAAGTTGAATTAGCTTACATGTTTTCTTAAAATAAAAAAGCTTATAGACTTGTAATATTCATTTCAGGACCTTATGAACAGAGATAAGGAGGACGAGCTGCCGGCGATGCAAGTAATATTCATCGACACCATCTGCCTTCCTATATACGAGGTAACATCCTTAATATTATATAGTACTAGCTTTCGCCCGCAATTCCTTTCGCTTGGGTAAAAAAAATCATATACGTTATTTCAAAATATCCTCTACATCTATGCCAAATTTCGTCGAGATCCGTCCAGCAGTTAGGCTACAAACTCTATCTTGAGCATTTATATTAGTAAGAAGTAACATAGATAAACGATATGTCCTTTAAAACATAAAAAATCTATTTAACTTTGATATAATCTTATTCCAGGCGTTCGCAGTACTATCTCCAGCGCTACAGCCGATGTTAGACCGCGTGAAGAGCAACCGAGCGCACTGGATCGATCTGGCGAACAATGAAAAGTCTGGAAAATTCGACTACATAGCGAAGGAGGAGAGGAACGACAAGTCCAGCGCCAGCTCGCAAGAGGATGAGCACGAGGACAGCAGCGGCGCAGGCAGCCTGTCATCGGACACCAACTCCAAGTACGACCAACTCGAGAACCCCGTGGTGGGTCTAGTCAGTAACAACGCCCTTATGCCGAGAGAACCCAAGTTCTGTCACCTCAATGAGTTGAATTGAGTTGGCATCTTAATAAATTGGTTACAAGACCTGTCACCTCAATAAATTGAGTTACATGATCTGTCACCTCAATAAATTGAGTTACATGACCTGTCACCTCAATAAATTGAGTTACAACACCTGTCATCTCAATAAGTTGAGTTACATGACCTGTCACCTCAATAAATTGAGTTACATGACCTGTCACCTCAATAAATTAAGTTACATGATTTTTGAGAATTGTATGATCTGTCACCTTAAGAGTTTGAGTTTTAGTGCTGGCACCTCCACGATTTGAACAGATCGCGATGTTTTTTGAGTGAATTAAAGTAATTATGCGTCATCTTTACGATTTGAGATTGCTGGCAACTCACAGAATTGAAGTTACTTACGATTTGAATTGAATATATTGTCATTTCAACGAACTTGATCTTGAAAACATCAAATAATTCGTTAATTTAGTTAGCATTGATCGTTTTGGCGGTTCTATAGTAATGAAGGCCAATAGAGATGCCAAATCGTCCATAGGAAGTTACTTTGTAGTCGTAAGTTATTACGCTTTACTGATCTGCGGGAATTCTGTAATTTTGTATCGCTATAGCGTGGATGTAATCGCACATAGTGTGTACATCGACTTAAAGGAATTGATTCTTTTAGGAATAAACTAATCTAGACGATTATAAGCTGTTAATAGATTTAAGGGCCTTAATTACCAAAATAAACTGGCCTAATGTTAAAAAAAATCATATCCAAATTCCCTTACGTCGATCTTGAAGATTTTTTTGTTTACGTCACGGTTATATTGTTAACTATATCCATTTGTACATTATTTAATAATTTTTTTTTGTAACTTTGTTCAATATTTCCTTGAAGGTTCTTTTCCACTTTCTGGCGCGTTCTTTTAAAGAGTAATATCTGTATATTTCATTGAATAGTTTGTAGTTACACTGTTTACGAAGTAAAATTGTATTTAAGATAGTATCGAGTAATGGATACTTTTCTATCAATATCCTAATTAATTAGAAAAAGTAATTTTACCTCATTCGTCTATTCCTGCATACGCGAAGATTTACTTGTGAAAATGTTAGATGTATTTTGACTAAGATACGCTAATTAGAGTGTATTCAATGTATTTTTGTGGTGTTTCCCGTTGGACCGTTCGGTTAACAGCAACGGGCCAACGGGAAACATTAGTTTAGTTCGCTTCATCGTGAGGCGTCACGCGCGGGCCTAACTGTAGTTATGCTTAGCAAATAAATGACCAAATACCAAAAATTCTTAATATAGTTAGGTATTGTGCTAAATTATTGATTTCTTGTTTCCAGTTTTCAAATGAAATTTCATGCTTTTGAGTATTGTGATGATAGAGATTTGAGTTAAGTTTTTTATTTTTAATTGCATAGTATTAAGTAGATTTGTTTGATTACTACACGTGCATGATAACATGAGACCTGATGACGTCACATGTTGCGCAATATTCAACATGTTTGTCAAATGTAAATAGCGCATGTAGTGCGGGTCTCATGTTATTGCGCACGCATAGTACAACTTGTTCATGGACTGACGTGCGCAGGCGCTGATTGTCATAACACAGTTAATATATTTGTATATTCACAGTGGAATTTATAATACAGGAATTGTATAAAGAATACACTTCTAAAGTGACAAGTTAGGAGTAACTTGTAAAAAAAAGTAGGGTTCGATAGAGATCTATAGTGTAAATTCATATGCTTTAATACAAAACTTTATTAATAGTTTTAGTTATAACGAAATAACCCACTTCAATATTTTAACGTTCGATTTTAGGAAACAAATTCGACGTTTCGAATTGTTTCGACTCTCTGATCTTTGTAGAACACAGATGTGTTTACTTTGGAGAGTTTAATAATTTGTTCACTAACTAAAGGGAATAAACTAATACTTAATGTTTAAATCTTTAACAAGAATCAATGGTCTGTGGCAAACTCGATTGAAAAACGGGAGAAAATCCTCGTAATGATAGTTTCACACGAGGGCATACTAGTACTGTTGTTTGAACGAACACTGTCCAAATGTTGTTGAACTGTTTAGTGTGAAACTGTCATAAGTATGTTATACGGCATTTGATTTGGCACGTCGGGACTTAGTGTACTCTTGTACCTTACGTGCCAACTCAAGCACCGATTTTTGCACAACAAATTATAAATTTAAAATGTTTTCATACTATTTACGTTTAATATCTTATTTCTCCCGCTTTTTTATGATTGTCAGTCATGAGTACTTATTAATAACTTTTAATTCGTAAATCGTTTTAACGTAAAACTCCACTGAGGTGACATTACTGTAGTCTCTGTTTAGTCAAAGAGTGAAAGAGATGGAAATATCTTGATTCCTCCTACGTAAAATGTCGTATGTTTGAAACGCAAGTTATGTAAGAAAAAACTTAACTTGTAGGTTTAATTATGGACGCATCACAATCATGAATGATAAGAAACTAGAAACTAAATATACTTTACTGTTACTTTCAAATTTGCACAGAAATTAGTATTTTATCAATTTAAATACGCAAAATTATAGAGTTACGATAGTTTACGTCGGAGCCATCGATGTATATACGTCACAGAATTGGAGTTCTATTGTTATTTGTCATCGGAACCGCATCCTCGCTATAATTTTAGTTTCTATAGTAACGCACCCGGTGCATTCATTCCAGTTTTAAACACAATTGTAACATTTTGTGTCGTCCACTAACAAAATAATATGTCAATTATAAAAATATAATCGAGGCATGATGTAAAACATTTCTTTGTGCAAAAAATGTATTTCAAAACATTAATATTACCATTGCTATAATCAAATCTAGCTTCTCTTCGATGTATCTTGGAATTTAATAAGTCATTTCTGTCTTAAAATATGACCAAATTGTTCCGTAATATAGATAAAATATTTTCTAATTGGAATAATTCTCTCTATAAGCGTTAGATTAACATTTAAAAAAATCTCAAATTAATTGTGGTAATAAAATGTGTACAACGCTAGTTTTAAGATTGCTGTAAGTATTATTAGAATGTAATTAGAAAATTAATAATTATAATTCACTAAATGACGAGTTGTATGGTGTGTGTGAATAATACGGAGGTTGTTTTGTTCCAAACAAAAATGTTATTTATTTATGATTAAACAATTTTTGAAGTACATTGAGTTTTATTTAACTTTTTTAAAATTTCAATCAAATATAACATCGGCTACAAATCCACGACCGTAACGTGGCAAATAGAATAAAAGCGGGATGGATGAAATGAAGACAGGACTGGGGTAATATGCAACCCGCAAATTTCCTTTAAAACATTTACAAAACCGTCATAAGGCCTGCTATGTCTATATCTGAATGTTGGGCAGTAAAAGGGACGGATGAAAGGAGACTACATGTGGCGGAAATGCGAATGTTAAGATGGATGTGTGGGGTAACACGAATGGATAAGATACGTAATGAGTATATTAGAGAAAGTTTGAGAGTAGCCCCAGTGGTAGAGAAACCAAGGAGTAAATAGTTGCCATGGTAGGGGGCTTGTTATGAGGAAGAATAAATCCCAAGTAAGAAGAAGGACGTTAGTTTTGACTGTGGAAGTACACCGGTAGGGGTAGACCTAGAAAGAGATGCATGAAATGTAATATGTTCAAGAAGGGATTTATAACTAAAATGACAGATAATAGTTATTTAGAGTACGAAAACTCGGTGCGCCGACACTACGGGAGTAGGATAACGTAGGGGAGATGATGATGAATCAAATAAAACATAAGCTGGTTTACTTCAGGAATCATTTAATTTATAGTAAATCTTAAAGTAAAGTTCTATTGAACTTAAAAATCACATACTGAGCAAAAAGGTTTATCTTATCTATGACCACAGACCATGGAGGCATGAATGTACTACTAGAACAGGATAAGCTCTTGTCGAAAAATTGAAGGCGTGCGAGACCTCAATAACTGAATCATATTACCCTCTCTGGCCATCGTGATCATAATTATAAAAAAATATTCGTGACCTGACCTCAGCAGATCATTGCTTCAGATGGATTTTAATCTAAGGTGCTAATGATAAGCTTGTTCTACGCATCACTCTATATTTCCCGCTTTTGAGTGGTACTTGTGGGTCACGACATGGAGATGGACACCTCCGTTGACCCCCTCACCTTCTTTTTTTGACTTTTCAAAATGATTCTTTAAATGCAAATCGCTAGAGTATCGTTTAAGAGGAAAGAGGTGTCGAAATCGATAATCGAGTAAAATTTGATTGATGATTCTCACAATCGTTTTAAGGATTTCCAGGATTGGATAGTCATGCATAGTCACAGTAAGTCTTCGCTAACAAATTATGTTTTTAAACTATTACCTATTAAGACAAACCACGATCAGAATAATACTCGCTTCCGCAAGCCTCCACAACCCAAGTTCTACAGTATTGACAAGAGCACAGTAGTACAGTTGGTACTGTTATTGACAAGAGCTATATCCTGTTCTAGTAGTACATCCATGCCACTGATACATTTAATAAATATCTTCAAAGAATACAGAAATGGGGCAGACAAGACACCTTGGTGTCATGCAGGAGGAGCATGCCACAAAGAGGAAGTCTTCGCAGAGTGTCCACCATCAACCAGCTTCAGATCCAGATCTCCTGCTTAACCCTGGCAGTATAGCGACCTACTGCAACACCAGCGGGGAAGAAGCTCGGAGGAGACCGTTTCAGACCTCTGCCGCCCCTCCACCCTTCGCGTCCAACCATTGCAAGCCGCCACAAAGCAACAAATAACTTGTAATTATCTGCATCAATATATCAATCAACTGCAAAGCCTACAACTTATTTATCCAAACCAAGATACACTCCATCTTTATAAGAGATTACATGAAACATTATAATTTCCTTTTACCACTTGAACGTAAAATCGTCGGTTTACGTTTTCTATTCGTATGTGAAACAGTTGGCTTCAAATCTTTGACATTGATTGACGAAGTAGAGACAGGTTTCTTAGAAAATTTTATTGGAGAGGTTTGAGATGAACGGGTTTTGATATTCGTCTGCGTACTTTTACTTCGAAATTTATGTGTAATGTTTACCTGGATTGCTTTATCGCATTTTGTAATTTCTGTTCTTTCATTACATTTATCTGAAAAAGAAAATAAATGACTAATGCTAGCAAACCAATAAAATCATGCACCCTGCACTCCGGGAGATTCAAATATATGTGAAGTGTGCAATTAATGCCTTAAATATTATGAGTACAAAAGTAATTTAAACAATACAGTGGATGGATGAAAATGTGAATTTTCTATTATGTTAATTTGTAAAGCATACTTAAAATGGCGGATCCAGGGGGGGGGTATTGACCCCATGACCCCCCCCCCCTAAGCTGGTTGGTCAAGAGCTTGACACAATATATTTACATATTTTGTCAAGCTCTTGACTTGACCACAACTATGTGAACCCCCCCTGGTGCCAAAGCTGGATCCGCACTTGCATACTTAAGCCACTAGACATATTCAATTGTCAATTAAACTACTCTGAGTTTTGCATTTACATCAATTCTAACTGGAGAGTTTAGTTACATTTCAGTTTATACTGAAGGTAAAATACAAAATGAGTATTAGAATAGCCCCAGTGGTTAAAAAAATAAGGAGTAAAAGGTTAGCATGTTATGAGAAGGGATGAATCGCATGTAACAAGGACATAATTTATGAATGTGGAGGTACACTGGTAGAGGTAGACTTAGAAAGAGACAGATGGATTGCATGAAAGGTGACATAATCAAGAAGGGAGTGATGACTGAGATGACAGATGATAGTTATGTGGAGGACAAAAATCTGTTGCGCCGACCCTATGGGAGTAGGATAAGGAGGAAATTAATGATGATGATGATGATCAATTTTAACTGCAGTTTTAACTGGAGAGTTACTTATAGTAGGGGAGCCGACGATGCTAAATGGGGATTTACTCGAGCGTCGCAGAGACCTATTGGGATGCATAGCTTAGATGATAAGAAAAAAATGTTATGTGATATATATCTCTACATCGGTGGGGGAAGCGGACATAGATTTTTAAATATGTAAAAAAAACTGTTGCATGGATATAATACAATATTAGTAATGTACGTATGTTAATCTGATTGCTTGCATGATGTGGAAGGTTGTATATAATGGTTGAAAATAAAAAAAATGCTCTGATTCACTAATCTGACGATTTCGATGGGACGCAAACTCGCGGCCATTTTCACAATGTGCAAAAAAATCGCAATTTTGAAATACTCAAGCGCGTCAGATTAAGATATATGTGGTTCATCTTTATGTTCTAAATGTAATGTCTCATAATCTGACGATTATCTAGAGGGATTCGCCTGATATGACAAAAAAAATTAGAAAAATGGTTCACCTTAATCTGATCCTGTATCCTTCACGGGCGGCCTTACATATGGTCTTCGTGTTTTATGGAGGTACTTAGCTGGGTACAAAGTATCCCACTATATATTAATCTGCCGCGCTTTAGTAAATCCCGAAATCCCCGATTTGGCTCCCTTACTATTATATTTCAGTTCAAACTGAAGTTGTGTACTGGGTAAACTGACTATAAAGATATCAATGTTTAATGGATATTGCTTACCAACCTTCATATTCACTTAAAAGTGTATTTAGATGGTCACTCAAAATAAATACCGATTCTACCTTCTTTTCTTCAAATTCACATTTTACTGATGGTCTATTTACATTTAAAACAATTGGTTGACAAACACCAATCAATTTGCTGGATACTGATTGGCAATCCTGTGTTTGTTTAATACTTATCTTTTCACTTGATATTACTTCTTCACATTCCATTTTTATCTCAAGATTACCCCCTTTTTCAGCTAATGGTTGACAGAAATCAGTCGAATTACTATCTATTGTTAGTTGGCAACCTTTTTCTGCAGTTGGAACTTTACTATTCAAATTTTCATTTGATTTTAATTCACCTGACGTTTCTTCTTCAAATTCACTTTTTATCTTTATGCTGCTCCACTCTGTAGTATGTGTTTGAAAACTAGTTAAGCCACTAGCTACTGGAGCTTGGCAACTATTCTTTTCAGTTGAAGGTCCAGTTGCTTTGCTACTAATATTTGACATTATTTCTTCTTCATATTCACTTTTTATGTCTAGTTCATTCCAATCTGTACTAAGTGTTTGACAATCAGTTGAAGTACTGGATATTGGTTGCCCAGGAAACTTTGAAGGTAAACAACCAGATCTAATCAATATTCTTGATACTCTACCCGTAGCACAATACGTTCCATAATTTTTCATGTCATTTGGCAGCTGAAATTTTATTTAAAATAAAAAATGAGTTATGATTATAAACTATGGAGTAATCAGTCATAGCATAGAGTAGGCTCCGAGCACTTCAGTAGGGGCATATAGTGAGCTGATGGAGAAAAAATCAACAAACGAAGATGCTGGCAGAGCTACATAATTGACTTTTTATCTACATGGTTTTAACTTTACATTTACATTTTATGGGATGTTTTTAAGATGAGGGAAGCATGATGCATTCTGAAAATGTGACGAAATTTAATTATATTCGTAAAAAATCAATCAAATATGGTCTGACACCGGTTACTATAATTATGAATGAAAAATATTCGGCTCTTGTATTTTTTTCGACCTAAGAAATGAGAATACACTCCCTTCTTACGTATATTCTTTTTAAGATAATCCATTCATACTTACATCAAAGTGATCTTCACAAAAAAATGCAGAAGTTGTTCGATTAAACTCATTCGGTTGTCTTCCGGCAAGTTCCAACCATTGTTTTCTAATAATTGGTTTATGTGGGACGGGTATAAAAAGTTTTTGAGGCGTGCGGATTGTTGTGTTATTGCACATTGATACTGCACAAGTTTTATAATTTGTATTATCCATTTTAACTGCCGCATTTACTTATTCATAAATTACTTTAATTATAAGATCAGCTCAGTCAGATCCTAGCAGAACGAAAAGAAGTAAATAATTGCAAATAAATAGTTTGTCTAAAAAAGCTTGATTAGTTTGACAAATGACAGTTCATTTGACAATGTAGTAGGTGTGGGTCCCTATAATGTACGACCCGATAATGCACGGCCCAATAATCCGTGTACAAACAAATCCCTTTGTTTGTACACGGATTAATGGGCCGTGCATTATTGGGTCGTGCATTATCGTGGCTGTACATTATTGCCTCCCGTAGGTGTGGCTAAAATCGATTATAAATCTAATCGATTTTCTAATTATACTTCAAAAGATTTTGGAATCGATAGCAACACATTTGCATTTTATGAATCAAAATAAATTCTATTTTTTTCTTTGGTTTATAAAAAGGCAAAGCAATAATGAGATATACAGAACAATTACAAAGAATGAGAGTAAGAGATATTTATTGCATGCATGGTATTATTGGAATTCGTTATCATTATTGTTATCGCTATCACTATATTCACTAGTAGAACTGTCACTTGAGTTAATTAAAAAATAAATAATAATTGTAGTTATGTTCAATAAATTTTGCTTAAAATGAATATCGATAATTCACAATTTTTCGCTAAGCGTGTAACGTCGCTATGACTCTCGTCTATTAAGTACGGCATTTAGCTGCATACAAATTTAATTCAATACTTCATATGCGTCATTTATCAATCTTATTCAGACAAACTATAATTTACACAAATCGGTGAAGGGGTGGGGGAAGTCCAACAAATTACAAACAACGAAAATTAAATCATTTTTAATTACATAATGCACTTATCAAGATTAAATTGTTATGTTTTTAGCATCAATTGATTAAATCAGATCTTCACGCATTAAAATATATTGGGCAAATATCGCGGGAATTTATGTTATAGGCTTGGTACATGGTCATAATAACAATTCGATTATCACTACTAACTACTCATATAAAGTAATGTCGAGTCTTCACCAATGGAACAACGGTAAATACCGTCATATCAGATATCAATCTCGGTACCAACTTATCGTGGGCATAAACCATAACATTTTGGATTTGTAATCATTTGTTGTATCCCGAATTATATTATTTACCTGATTTTATTATTATAAAGCTTTTCCGGTAAATTATAGTATACACTGATCTCTGATATAAGTGATTACATACTTTTACGTTACATTGTGGATCAGCTATTTTTATAAACGAAAAATAATGATTTTGACTTTTGTGCTGTCACAATACAAAATCAATTCAAAAATTTTTCAGTAAGTCTGCCATTGACAACTTTGTTTAACGGATTTATTTTATAGTATTATATTTTAGAATAATCTTTATTGAACAAATATGCCTTTACTTGACATAACCAATCCGAAAGTTATTATATTTCTTATTGAAAACTATGAGAAAGAAAATCGGTTACGTCTTAACTGGATACTTAAGCACCGTGAACAGATCCAGCAAGCGGCGACACTCAACAGGGAACCGACAAATTACTTTGAGACCGATGTAATCGCTCACAATATGATAGGCGGAATGGCCACGACTACCAGAGACCATATCGTGTCGGGATATAACAGGAAGAAAACTCCCATACGCGATGCGATCTTCGTACCCGGAGTTAAAGATTTACGCCACGGTCATTCAATTGTAGATGTCGGTCTGGGGGATCCAAAAGATGATCCTAGACTCAAAAGACCAGTCGAAGAACTTTCGACAGATCCTATAATGCGCCCCGTCGATCCCAAAGTTAACAAAATGATATATAAACCGAGACCAGAATTTGGAAGGAATCGATATCTCCAAACACGGTCGAAGACGTGGCCGGAGAAGAAATACTATTTCTCTGAGTGTTCTAATTGGGACTATGGATGGCGAATGAAGGATAGCGATTTGCGCCAGAAGCCGTTGTATGGACGATGCTGGCATCTTCATAGGGCAGTACGGACCAGAGTCGGGCCCCAACCAGACCCACCCTACTATAAGTCCTCCGATCCTCCTGGTTCTACCAAGTTTGTTACCATATAGTTAAATTATCGAAGACGGACCCTATAAAATCTTGTTATTTTGATATTATAATAAAATAACACCATTTTCGTTTGTATCCTAATCTGCATAAAAATAAACCTTTATCTAATATTAAATTGTTAGCAATGTGCATATTTCTTTTCTGTTCATCTTATATATAAAAGTGAAAAAAGACTTGGTCATAAAAATAAATATAGTTACACTCTCGAAAACTGTACCCTCAGTGAAAAAAATACTCTGAAAGCGAACTGCGGATGCGGTAGGTAGACTGACTATAGCAGTTGGGTGTTCAATTTTATTTTGAACCTTATTACAATATGTTAGAGTTCACGCATATAATATATTGTTTACGGTACAGAAGTGCAGATTTTTTTATAATTTCCAAGAGCGCCGCATGAATAAATGACATTTAATGACGCGAGCCCGAAATACCAGTATTGCGAATCTCTTGGAACGCGACAACTGTGTGTTAAGTGAGTATATACTTTTATTACGTTATTTTGTAATTGATCGCTTCAGACGAAAAAATAATTATCCTGACATTTACGACATTTTATAGTGTCACTTAAAAATAAGTGAATCAACAACTTTTCCGTAAATTCGTTAAGAGTTTGCAATAGTATTATTGAAAAACAGTTTTAATTTAGTTGAAAATGCCTTTTCTTGACGTACATAATCCGGCGGTGATAAGATTCCTCATAGATTGCTACGAAAAAGAAACACTATATCGTCTAAATTGGGTCGAAAAGCATCGCGAGAGAATAGAGAAAGCGGCGACTCTCCAAAGGGAACCGACGAATTACTGTCAGACCGATGTGCTTGCACACATAGCATCTTCGGGAATGGCAATGACCACTAGAGACTTTATCGCATCTGGATATAACAGAATGAAATGCCGCGATCCGTATACTAATGTGCACAGACTTAAAGATTTACGTCACGGACATTCCATTGCAGATGTCGGTCTGGGAGATCCCAAAGAGGATCCGAGACTCGTAAGGTCAGACGATGAACTTGCATCAGATCCAATAATGCGTCCCGTCGACCCCGACGTGAACAAAATCATATATAAACCGACACCTGAATATGGAAGGAAACTATATCTACACACACGTGAGAAATTATGGCCGGAAAAGAAGTATTATTTCCCTGAGTGCTCTAACTGGGATTATGGATGGCGCACAATGGATAGCTCTATGCACCAGCCGTCGTTATATGGGATAGTCGAACATCTCAATCGAGCGCAGCGCTCCCGAGTTGGGCCCCAACCGGACCCCGCGTACTACAAATCGCCTAACCCGCTAAGGCAAACCAAGTTTGATATTGTATAATAAGGGCTTTGTTTTAAGAGACCCTCTGATATTTTTTCGATGATATAATACAAGGATTGTTTCGTTTCATTGGCCGATACAGGTCTGAGATCTATAGGGCTTAAGTCCCCTTCTTTTGAACACGAGACTGTGTGCTTCTCTTTGTTTAGTCGTATTCCGATTTACAGTGTGCAATATGTTTATGCTTTTAGTTTTAACTGAAATCTTTAATTTACTTTATGTAGAATCTGTTATTAAGTATATTGATTGGTTTACCATAGAGAATAATGTATTGATTTCTAAGAAACACCGGTTTGAAAGATATGACCGGTATTATTATATTGTTTTAGTTTTTTATTTGTGGTATAATAGGGAAGGAGTTATGGGGGTCAAGGAACCCTTGGAAGGTATATTTTATTATTAATTCGTAATAAGACGTAAGTATAATAATAAAATGGGAGTTATACGCGGCAGAAAATAAATAGTAATCATGTTAATTTAACCTCAAATAATTTAACCCTCGATAAATTCTATTGGACGCTATTTTTTATGCCTTTGATAAGTTTTTTAGTCAATAATTTAAAAAAGTAATATATTTGTAAAAATTATATGTTAAGAAAAATAAAATTAAATGAAATTGCATGCAAGTTGTCCAAAACATGGTCATCTCCATTTCCTTGAATGTGGTACCGTGTAATTTCGTTTGTTTGGAACCCGCGTCTGCATCTGCCATTTTTTCCATAGATGGACTTTAGTTAGATTTTGTTGTATTGTAATTTATTATCACGTTTAATTCTTTTTCATTGTTATGGTAATTTTGTTTTTTTTGTCTTACTGTCATTTTGTGAAGGTATTACTGGTGATCATGTAACAGAACAAATATCTATTCATTTATATTGTTATTGTTGGGTTTATCTTGTATTTAGTATTGAATTAATTGTTTATTTTTACACGTTAACTAGATAAAGTTTAACGATAACTTTTAACTATTTGTTAAAGTAAATTCTATTAGATTATTTACAATTAGATTCAAATCTTTTATTTGTTATAATCAGGCAAATCATTACCACATTCGTAATACTAAAATGTCTAATTTCACACATATCTCAACGATAGTCACAGTTCCCGCGGATATTTCTCTGTCAATAACAATGCGCATGTCAGTCTAATATGTTACTTGCTCTTTCCTACAAACCTATTAAAAAAGGGACAAAAGATAACCTCAAATATACTTACGCACGCGCGTTACCGCTTTGAAAGTACAAATTTATATATTTTTACATGTTCACCCTAGTCGCCAGTGAACTACGCATTATAGCCGTAATGCAGTGTAAATAATTTTAACATAAAATAATATAAACGTTACACTTTAGTTGTTTCTAGTATGTAATCTATATTAAGAATCTAAATTCATTCCTAAAATAGTAAATATCGTGTATTTCTTTTATGTATATTTAATAGTGTAAAAATTGTTTTAAGTGGTTTATTGCGACTGAAGAATAGCAGTCAGAATAAGTAAGTAATTTTTAGGCTCGAAAACGTATTAGATTTTTATCTTAAATTAATTTTTTAATTACGAATATTCTTAAATCCTAGTTGTTATCACTCTCTTTGTAGGTTAATTATTTAGTGTTTTATTAAACGTTTTATTAATTGATTTTAATTGTCAATTTCCCAAAAATGTACTACAAATTAATGAAATTCACGAAATTGTTAAGCATAATTTTCAGTTCCTTTATTTTATTTTCTTATAGTGTTAATGTTAATAGCTATTAAATGACGTAATTACTATTTTCGATCAGTCCAATTTCCCAATACGCGCACCCCTGTTAAAGCAGGTGGCGTGATGTAGGTACTACGCACCCTAAGTATAGATCCGTCATGGTCACGTTTCAGAATCGACCTTTCATTCATGCGATTCTTTTTTATTATTGGTTAATCCGTTATCGAGGATTTTGTAGTTTTAACTAGCTGTTATCGTGACTTCGACCACTTGGAATAAAAAAAAAGTAAAGAGGCATAGCCTATGCTGTGAAAGAATTTTTAAAATTGGCCCAGTATTTGAATTATTCCCATGTATACAAAAATACAAATGTTTCCACTTTATAATATAAGTATGGATGATGAAATTCTTGGATTTTTTCTCTAGCCTTTTTTTTACAGTAAATTAGACAGGTACGAATTTTAATTTTGTCACTTTGTGAAAACAAATGGAAAAATAGTTTTTCTTATTGCAACAAAAAAATCTAACCTTTTGACATTATTTTAAAGTTATGTGCGGTTTCAGTGGATTTCTGTAAATACAAGGTTTTATTTCATCTTGCAAATATTCTTTTAAGATTCAAGTCTGCTTTTAAGGCTGAAATTTATGTTTTGTTATTGGCTCTAATTCTAATGCAAGGAACGCCCACTTAAAAACTAAGACATTCCCACATACGTCCTGCCTCACAATTCAACCAAAATGGTCTAACAAAACTCGTCGGAGAAGGTCCATGATGGAGGCGAATTCAGTAAGATAAAACTTTTTTAGTCATTCGTCTGGGAATTTTAAACTGTCAACATTGTTTTTTTTATATCTGCGCAACTAAAAATATTTCCTCCCACAGTAAAACTGTCAAATGGGATAACATGAAAATCTTATTTTTACCAAAACTGTGTATAAAAAACTGAAATATTAAATCTCCAAAAATAACGAGCAGTAACTTTTTTTGTTATCGTTACCATTTGTTTCTACTCTCCATCAAGTTATACGAAAACATTATTGTCCTCTCTTTCTTACTTCTACAAAAAACTGAAATAACAAGTTTTTGCAGAAGTGTCTCGGTACTGGTAAGCGGTTGATAATGTTGAAAGTTTATAACATGTTTCTTTACTTAAAATATTCTTACTAAGTTAAACCAGTACTTAACTATAGATGGCCGTACAATTTACACGTCTACAAAATCCTGTACTCATATTTATATCTCTAATGTTAAATTAAATAATTTTAAAATACATGACTTTATAAATCCCTTTATTTTTTAAGGTTCAGAGCTGATCGGGACAGTGTAACTTCATAATGCTGAAATGTAAGTACTATCTTACTTTTATTTATTTTTTCATGAATATACGCTGTATTGTTACTTCGGCGCAATAAAATATACGAATAACTAATGACAAATTCCACCTTTGATATTAACTGTGTAGATAACCGAAATAAGAGATTGAAAAGTCTATCTGTCTCTTCTATATTACGTGTGTTCGTAAATTACTTCCCAAAAAAAAAATAGTGCCGTTTCAGGCGTGCAAACGTGACGCGAGTCGGGTGAGTCGCTTTTGATTTCAAGTCTCGACTGAGATCGCTGGTCAATGCACCCTGAGCACGAGGTTTGTGGGTCACAGCGGCCGGACCGACACTACCTATATTATATGTCACTAAGATATACATTTACTGGATGCGCCAAAATGTTGACCTTTTCTGGCCAACATCCCTTCTACTCATACATTCGTGATAAAAACCAATTCTAATTTAAAAATTAAAATTTCTGTGCCTATGGGTATTAACTACATAATGTTTTTTTTTCCTAATGTCCCTATTATAAACAGGGTGTACATACAAACCAACTAATATTGTGCAAAAAAGTGAGTATTTCGTGTATCGTTATTGATATAATTCTAATGAAAACTATTAAAACAATATTAATTTTCGTAAATAATTTGACACTTCAACAATCTCATTATTTCAGCCACTGGAGAGTAATTAAATTTCAGATTTCAATTTGTTAACTAATTTACAGAGTGTACTATAATCGTATTGAAATTTTTGATAATGTTAAACATTATCTATTGGAAAGTATCAAGACTCATCGTTGTCATCATTAACAGTCTTTATCTGTCCACTGTTGGACATATCCCTTCCTCAATACCTCCCACAAAATGTTGTCCCCCTCCTCAATCCTTAATTCCACGGAGTTTCTTATACCAAAAAGAATAAGAAATGTATTTTTAGATGTGAAATATGAATGATATAGTATGTGTGTAGATTTTTTAAATTGGTTGTCTCACACTGGACACTATCGATTTGAGGGTTAACAAGTCATATCCACTTAAAATAAAATAACTTTCATGATCGTTTCTTGTTATGAGGTAACCGTTATATTTTTAATCAGGATACTATAATAATGCTAATCAATTTTTAACAACCTATCGGTAAGTAAGCTTAGCACCTAAGTGCGAAATTTATAGTTCCGCTTAAATTCACGGCACGTGCTAGTTCACTACCAAATCTTTAAAAGCAAACTGAATTTTATTAATTAATATGTATTATGTTTTTATGCTTAAAACTAACTTATTTTCCAGCACTTACTACTACTACTAGTCAGCCAGATGACGTCCACTGCTGGGCATAGGCCTCCCCCAACGACCGCCACGATGATCGGTCCTGTGCCTCCCGCATCCAGGAACCACTTATCTGAGTGAAATTATGTCCCTGAGTAAAAACTAATTATTATCATATTCCTTCAAGTTCTTAAACTATGATACTAAATTAAGCGTAAGCGCCAGTAGCCTAATGGTTTGCGGTTCGGACTACAGATCTCGCAGTTGAGCGTTCGAATCCCGCCATTCAACTATTGTCGTGACCCGTATCCTAGCAAAAGCCTAGCTTAGTTGGAATGGTTAAAGGAAATATTAGTAGATTTACAAAAAACTATTAACATTTTCATAAAAAAAACCGTAAAATCTGTAATTAAAATTTTAAATTTATTCCCTTCACTGTATTAAAAAATTTTCTATTTTGTTGTTAGTTTGAGATGTAATGTCTCAAAAAACGTAACATTGTTTTTACGCTTGTTAAAAAAAATATGGATATTACGGCCGTAGAATCCCACGGTTAAGTACAAGGCCACTTTTAACAGCTGCGACCACTGGTTTATAACCCATATGAGCGTAACATACAACATAGTAAAACAAAGCCATGTGAACCTCGTGAGTAAAAAACACAAATGACTTTGGTTGCGGTCAGTCTTACCATTTTTAAATTTCGAACGCCCGCATTTCCAGCCAGTTCTGCGGTATGTTTGTGGTAAACGGTAAAAATGATGGATACCTTCGACACTGACGTCATAATTTGTTTTTTTTTCTGTTCTGGTCACTTCAATATATTCTAATTCTACGATTTACTAGTTAGATAAACTTCATCAGATGTTGAGTGCGTTGACCTCGCGGCATTGACTCCAGTCCTGCCTCACAACAGATATGATTCGATAGATAACTGTACTGATATTTTTTATCGTCAACAAATCGAGGCTATGCATTCGGTTCGTGATCAAACTATTTTTTTTTCTTATTGGCGAATCGGTATTAAAACATCGGCGAGTGGCGCTGCGGAATCGTTTTCAGACGGAACTTATCGATTTTATTATTCCATCATAGTACCGCTTTACATTGTTCCTCTGAAATGATGTTTCGTGTTGATAATTAATGAGAATGAACGTTTTGTTCGCTGAGACTTCCTGTTTTACGTGCCAACGGTGTCGGAAACGGTACATTTTTTATGATCATCTCAAATTGGCGAAGGCACTTCCATAACTTTAAGTGCACTATAAACCAAAATGTTTGAGGCGTGTATCTGTGTAATAAATTGTAGACGTATTGTATACAGAACCAATATCAGAATCACTCAGTTAAAGCCTTATAGCGTAAAAAAACATATTTCGTAGAGGCTACCTGAACAAATTGACATTTAAGATTCTTTAGAACTTTACGCCTATAATTAGCGGTCAACCAATAATATTTTACAGTAAAATAACTTTTTAAAATGGCACTATGCACTATAACTCACATTAGATTATCGTTTTAAAACCATCAAAGATATTTTCATAAAAATGATAAGTGCCATTTGCAGAGTTTAACGAACAAATATTTTATTAT